TCATCCCTGAAGATGACGCTGCCACCCGCATGCTTCATTGTGGAGGATTTTGTTCTGAAACCAAAGAGGAATTTTCTGTTTCATACCATAGCTGAACCTCCTACAAGTTTTGGAGAGATATTAGACAGGGTTGGATGATTCCTAGGAAGAACAGGCCCGTGTCTTGCAACTCTATTCCTTAGAAAAATAGGAAACTGGGGCACGTTGGGGAGCCCCTGGTGGCCAGTGGTGGTATGGCAATAAAAACCCTTGAATCCCTGAACTATATCAACAATATGTGCACCAAGCAATACATACACTTAGCATTCCACAGATAAATGCTTTTAATCTGGTTAAGAATAATAATTGTACTGTCAATAAATGACGTCTAATTGATGTTCTTAGTGACCAGAGGAACAGTAAGGCCTTAATCAGCCCACAGGTTCAAACTGATGAAACATGAGGATGGAGGCTCTCTATTAAAACATTCCTCACCATCTTCCATGTTCTTTCAGCAAACAGTTGAGACAGAGCTGGTTTTGGTTCCACCACTATTGGCCTGCTGCTTTAGCCGCCATTGAAAGTTTTCTTAAAAGTCTGTCTGTCAGTCTGCAGATCATGTGACCAAACCAGAAAACACACTGGAAATATAGATTACAGCATTCTTTGTTTTACCTGGCAGCCATCTTGGTAGGCGGTTGCTATGACAACAATAAACAAGCCACAACAATACCAGAACATTACAACCGTTGTTTACGTCTATTTATGATACATTTTCTTTCCCACTCTCGTTTTCTATCTGGCCCCTTAATGGAAATGAGTCGGATGTTCCTGATATACGGGATAAAAACAATGAATCATGAATTATTCTTGTTTTGAATGTAAACAAGAATAAAGAGTAGGATAATTGGTGGTGGAATGATGTCACTCCACCAGCAAAGGGAGATTCTGTGATGTCACAGCCGATGCCGTCAGTGATGTCATCAACGGGAGAATTGTATGTGACACAATTCTGCAAATTGGTCATTGCTTGCAATACCCCTGACTTGTTCAGACGCTCGCAAAGCTCTTTAAGGAAGTTTTCCAAACGACGATTTTAGCGAAAGCATTAGGAGAAAAAATGTCTCATCGTTCACCAAGATTCAACTTTGAACTGATTGGACCCCACGGGAGAAGGGAAGCCCAGCAGAACCAGCAAGGCGGGTTCCCTCCTGTGCAGCCCAATGCCTCCCACGGGGAGATCGGAAGGCTGAGCTCCCTCCAGGAGATGGAGAGAGCTGGAAGGTACGAAGACCACCAGCGAGTGGCCCACCTGGAGGCAGAGCTGGAGCGAGAGAGAGAGAAGAGTAAGGGCCTCCAGGAAGAAATGGAGGCACTTCAGACTTCGTACGAGGAGCTGAGCTCCAAGTACGAAGCTGAAGTAGCTCTGGTGAGGCTGGAGGCCCAAACACAGAAGGATTATGAAGAGGGAATCAAAAACCTGAAAGCAGAGAAGGAAGAGATCATCGAAAACCTGTCAAGAAACATCAACATCATGCGAAAGAGGGAGAAACAGATCCTAAATGAACTTGACCAGGTTTTCTATTCATTTGAGGAGCTGAAACGCAGATATGAGACGGACATCATCTATTTTCAGCAGCAGATTGAGTCGTTCCGTCAGAGGACGGAGCAAAAGGAAACCACTCTTTCTAACAGAGAGAAGAAAGGAAAACTTCTGCGGGAAAAAAACTTTTCTTCCCTGCAACAGCAAGTTGCAAAACTGCAGCAGCAAATCACAGCGGAGAGGAAAAGTCATCAAGAGAAGTCAGAGGAGGACCTGGCCATTCTCCATAACATCAGAGCCGAGAATGCCGTCCTCCTGGAAGAGACCAGGCAAGAGATGAACATCCTGCAGGAGAAGGTCAGCAGCTCCCAGGATGACTTGCAGAAGGCTGACAGTAGGTACAAAGAGCTCCTCTGCCGGTACGAGACGGACATCATCCATCTGCAGCAGCAGAATGAGTCGTACCGGCAGAGGATAAAGCAACAGACAATAGCCCTTTCTAACAGAGAGCAGCTACTCCAGGAAAGAACGTTTTGTGCCCTAAAACAGCAAGTTAGAAAACTGCAGCAGCAGATCAATCAGGAGAGAGAAAGTCATCAACAGAAATCCGAGGAGGACGAGGCGATGCTCCACGCCATCGAAGCCGAGAACGCCGTCCTCCTTGAAAAGACCAGGCAAGAGGTTAAGATCCTGCAGGAGAAGGTCAGCAGCTCCCAGGATGAGTTGCAGACGGCTGACGGTAGGTACAAAGAGCTCCACTGTAGATACAAGACAGACATCACTGATTTGATACAACTAACGGAGCAGTACCAACAGCAGGTGACTTGTCTGCAAAATGACTTGGAGAGAGCCAGCCTGGATTTGTCTGGCTCTTTCCAAGTCATTTCTGACCTGCTCAGACAACAGAAGGATGGTCCCCAAGAGAAGGAGGTAAGTTCTCTAATTCAACTCGACCTGGTCCAAGTTTCCAGCCAAGAGGATTCTTCGGAGGAGGCGCTTTCTGGAGGACCTTGTTCCACCGACCAAGAATCCACGGAGGAGATCCCTGGCGAATCTGGCATGGAAGAGTTGGACCATCCACACACTGACACCATGCAGGAGGGTGAGAAGAAAAAGTCAAAATTTTCAATTTGGAAAAAAATTCGTAACACTCTGCGACTGAAAAAGTAAAACAAAAAAAAGAGTGAAGGCAATTAGAGAAGGAGCAAGACATGCAAGAGAGACTGAGGACTGGAATCAGACGCAGGAAGGTTGTAGCGTCTGCGTTAGGGGCGCCATGCGATGCTCCGACAACAGGACGTTTACAGCAGTTACGTTTTTTCCCCAAATTCGATCCCTTCCCCACCAAATTGAAAAAACGTGGGCAGCACGGTGGCGCAGCGGTTAGCACTGCGTCTTCACAGAGACCCTCTGTGTGGAGTTTGCATGGTCTCCCCGTGTTTGCGTGGGTTTTCCCCGGGCGCTCCGGTTCCCCCCATCTCCTAAAACATGCAGGTCAGGTCAGTTGGTCGCTGCAAATCGCCCCCAAAAAGAAACTCCCAACACATTTTACTGTGTTTTATTGCTAATCTTGTCAAATTTAGGTTTCATTTAGGACGTGACTGAAAGGTTTTGTTTGTCAACCTGCGTTTGATTCCCAGTCCTGGGGAATCTGCTGCATGTCTTTTCCTTCTCTCTCCTCCCAATTTCCAAATATTTGGGAGGAGCCTAAAAAACTTAATTTGAGCCTAAAAAACTTAATTAGACCCTAAAAAACTGAAACATTGACTTTATCTCACAAATGGACCCAAAAAAAAAATCAACTTTTTTTCTCTCTCTCCCACAAAATTAACAGATTACTTAACACGCACACACACCCTTACAAGCATAACCAAGCCTTCCCACCCAATTGAAAAAACGTGGGCAGCACGGTGGCGCAGCGGTTAGCGCTGTGTCTTCACAGAGACCCTCTGTGTGGAGTTTGCATGGTCTCCCCGTGTTTGCGTGGGTTTTCCCCGGGCGCTCCGGTTCCCCCTACATCTCCTAAAACATGCAGGTCAGGTCAGTTGGTCGCTGCAAATCGCCCCCAAAAAGAAACTTACTTAACACCCAAACACACACACACGCACACACACACACCCCCTCCATGGGCTGCCACCTTATCGTGGTGGGGGGTTTGCGTGTCCCAGTGATCCCAGGAGTTCTGCTGCCCAGTGCAGACGGGTTCTAGGTGAGGGACCAGACCAAGTGCAGCCCAAAGATCCCTTATGATGATACGACCGTTGGAAACAGGGGTTGTTCTCTCCGTACATGAGGTCCCACCCTGGAGCCACCCTGGCCTGGGGCTGGGGCACGTTGGGGAGCCCCTGGTGGCCAGTGGTGGTATGACAATAAAAACCCTTGAATCCCTGAACTATATCAACAATATGTGCACCAAGCAATACATACACTTAGCATTCCACAGATAAATGCTTTTAATCTGGTTAAGAATAATAATTGTACTGTCAATAAATGACGTCTAATTGATGTTCTTAGTGACCAGAGGAACAATAAGGCCTTAATCAGCCCACAGGTTCAAACTGATGAAACATGAGGATGGAGGCTCTCTATTAAAACATTCCTCACCATCTTCCATGTTCTTTCAGCAAACAGTTGAGACAGAGCTGGTTTTGGTTCCACCACTATTGACCTGCTGCTTTAGCCGCCATTGAAAGTTTTCTTAAAAGTCTGTCTGTCAGTCTGCAGATCATGTGACCAAACCAGAAAACACACTGGAAATATAGATTACAGCATTCTTTGTTTTACCTGGCAGCCATCTTGGTAGGCGGTTGCTATGACAACAATAAACAAGCCACAACAATACCAGAACATTACAACCGTTGTTTACGTCTATTTATGATACATTTTCTTTCCCACTCTCGTTTTCTATCTGGCCCCTTAATGGAAATGAGTCGGATGTTCCTGATATACGGGATAAAAACAATGAATCATGAATTATTCTTGTTTTGAATGTAAACAAGAATAAAGAGTAGGATAATTGGTGGTGGAATGATGTCACTCCACCAGCAAAGGGAGATTCTGTGATGTCACAGCCGATGCCGTCAGTGATGTCATCAACGGGAGAATTGTATGTGACACAATTCTGCAAATTGGTCATTGCTTGCAATACCCCTGACACAGTGTTGCTGTGTGACACAGCAGCAACAACCACTGTTGCTGCTATTCAGAGATGAAAGCATCTCTGAACAGTTTCTGTCTTGGTTTAACATAATTTTTGGAATAAGTGTCAAGTTTTTTGAACACGTACATTATCCCACATTTTTTCCCAATCATTTACTCTCTTCTGTGTGTTAAGTTTAATCTACTGTGCACTGAAGAAATTACAACACCCCATTAACTATTCAATTATTTCAAAGTAAATGCTTAATGGTATGGTGCAGTCTTTTATTAATTATTGATTATTAAAAAATTCAACCCATTTTAATAAAATATGTTGGGGATTACATCAACCCGATGTTGAGATGTTGTACAGTAGTCCATGGTCAATTCTAGATATGTGCCTACAGGTGCTAATATCTCTGTAGAACTGGTCCTGGCCGCTGTTGTGATCCCTGTACTGAAGATACTTAAATATCTAGGAGCGTATTTTATCTGCGCAAACGACAACGTAGGCTCTACTCAGGGAGACTTTGATCCTTTGGAACCAGTGTGCTCATTGTGGACCATTTCTACTTAGCTACCATTCAGAGTGTTGCTGTCTGACAGCTTAGTGTGGTTCAACCGTCCTCTCAACACAGCTGGAGAGCAGGAAACTGAGGCTCCTCAACATCTGCTGCTCCCAAATTGTGGGTCGTTCACTGGAAAACAAATTCACAGAGCTGTGTAAGAAAACACGCTGCGGGACTATCAGACAAAATTGATGTGGGATCGGTTGCAGAAAGAAAAAGTGAATACATTGTTGCAGATTACATATTGGTTTTCTTTTTAAGTTCTTTACGATGAATGCTTATGATGCTGCTTGATATTTGTTTTTATCTGTCTTTGGAATGCATCTAGAATATGTCAACCAAACCAAAATATTTTTTTAGTCAACTATTTTATGTAAGTCGCACCGAGCTATAAGCCGCTGGTCTCTCCTCCACTCTCGGTTTTCCCTCCGTCTCCAAAATCAAACCATGGATTTGTTCACGCCGAGCTTTCAGTGCAGTGGCTCTATTTCCCTCCTGTGCTGCCAGATTGATAGCCATCAACTTAAAAGTGGCATCATATGAACTTCTTTGTGTGGTTTCCATAGTGAAGGGGTATGAGTGTGAAGAAATTTCTCCTATGTGCCTGCCGCCTGCATGTGCTTGTGCTAAATAAAACTCAGTACTTTCTTCTTTACTTTCCAATTTTGACGTCCTGTGATTCGCTTCCTGCTAAAGAGGCTCCTGGTGGTTGAAGAAAAATCCCACAGAAAAGCAGCACCGGGCTACAAACCGCATGGTTCAAAGCGTGGGAAAAAAGTGGAGGCTTATCGTCTGAATTTTTCCTATTGTGATATTTACTGCTACAGATCATAACTAACTCGCCGTTGGATTAGTTTCTCTTTTTACACCCATGCTTTTCTTTTAACAATTAATTAAAAATAAAGGTTTCACACTTTCAGCGTCAGCCATATTGAGATAGAATCACAGTTTACAACTGCTACACCACAGAGCCGCAATCGACTCTTTGACTCCTTGGCTCACTTATTATTAAAAGATTTAAATATTCCCCTTCCTTTTTGTTTCATTCTCTTATGCCGCCATGTGAAAAACAAAACAAAAACACAAACAAACACTGACCTCAAAGCTCCAAGCTGGTAAATTTGGACAGGAACTACTCTACTGCGGTCAGTGACAGGTGTGTGTGTTTTATTTTCTTAAAAGAACAATCACAACTGTTTCCTGAGAGGCGTTTTACTTTGAAATTACGGACCAGAAGCTTAGCTTTGTACTCACTTAACTTGATAATATGGATTAATCCAGGAGCGCCACAGAAATCAAACAGCAGTCGCCGCCTCGCAGTGATGAGGGATGACAGAAAAAACAAGGCTGCTCTCATTTAGATGACATAAATGCTTTTTCCTTTTTCTTTAACATTCATAAGGTGGATATAACCGGTGGAATATTTTGTTGTTTCTTTCTTTTTACTTTTCTTCCTTTCTTTTCTTTTAAATTTCCTTTTCATTCGCAACTGGATCTTAGAGCGGACACATCACCTTGCAGGATGGATCCAGCTGGAGAGCTTTTACGCTGCGCATTTCTCGGAGCGTCTCCTCAGATGCATAAAAATTAAGCGGTCTCTGTTCTGAGAGACAATGAAGTACGGACTGGTTGTGCTCTCGGCTGGCTTTACTGGTTTACTCAGCTTCGCATTCCTTGCTGTGGCCATCGGAACTGATTACTGGTACATTATCGATGTAAATAAATCCAACCACACGGGGCCAAATGACCTGAGTTCACACTCTGGATTGTGGAGAATCATTGAAGGTTTGGGGATTTCATATTCACTTACTAATAAATCGTAAATGCATCTGCTTCTGTATCATTCATATGTTAAATCTACTAAGTTATTGCAACTTAGTTCTACAATTTGAAATTTCAGGCGCAAACTCGGGTAGTTAATTATTTGAGATTCAGCCTTTCTATTCAAGAAAATAATTTTTCTAAAACAATGCCAATGCATGAATGCATTGAATACTCTTTATATGCAATTTGCTTATTTGAGTGCTGATGCTGCATTATTGCTCTAATCATCATCAGCTCCCGATTAAACCCTCATCCGCTGGTTGTGTAGAACCCAGGTGCTGAAGCAACCTGACATGAATCTCAGATCACCATAGTGAGTTTTTTTTTATCTGGCCGAAGTAAATCTTCATACTGACTGAATTTAAATGAATTTTTTTTTTAAATAATGTGAGTACTAATGAACATCTCATGCGCAAATATATGTGTGCACAAAAGAGCTTGTTAAGGTTATATTGTGATTGCTGTTAAGTGTTGTGTTCTTAGTCTGCACAGCTTGAGATCCTTCGTGTGTTTATTTGGTTGTTGGTTGCATCCACAATAATTGTGAAGTAATGCAACAACATGCAGCCTTCATCCGATCAATAACTGAACATCCAGTGAGAGGAATTCTCAGTGCACAACATGCACACTGGAGCATTTTAAAAAGGAGATGGAAGGCAGATTCTTTGCTTTTGAAAATGTTTTATTTATTTCTTTATTTATTTTGTGACGTCTGCAAAGTCTGTCATTTGTAACCTTTCCCCTGACATTTTCAGGTGCAAATAGGAGTTCAGTCATCCCCTCTTTTACAGCAAATATGTCCAGCCTGTCAGAGACTGAAAGGCACCTTCTCGGTGAGTGTCCTTTTTTTAAACAACTGACAAAAGAGTTTAATAGAATTCAAGTGGCTGTCACACCTGGGTGCAATATAATCAAAAAGCTAATTAATTTCTGCTAACGTTATTCAGTCAAATATCCATGTTAATTTTGATGCTTGTGGCTCACAAATGGAGGTTTTTTCAGCAAATTGTAATTTTATGTAAGAGCGAGAAAAAATTAGTTTTAATGCAAAAATATTGACATACTGAAAGTATGTAAAACATATCCACTCAGTGCTTCTTTGTGCATGAATAACTACATGTGGTAACTGTATGTGGTAGATTCTCTAAGAGGTTTGTTTCAGGTGAGCACAGTGATTCCATGTGTAGTAAAGTAATTATTAGTGCACTTGACAGCTTGAGTAGGCGCTAAGTCTTGCTGGAAAATGAACTCAACCTCTCCATAAAGCTTGTCAGCAGCAGGAAACATGAAGGGGTCTAAAATATCTAGATAGATGACCATGCTGACCTTGGACTCACTAAAGCACATTGGAACAGCACCTGCAGATTAATTAGCTTCCCAGTGTGCAGTTGTCACATATCTCAAGTAATATGGATTATGTGCCTCTATTTTCTGCCTGCAGACTAAGCGAGCTTCATTTCCACATGAAATGGACCATATTGTCACAGTCCAGTACTTTTTCTCTTTAGTCTACCTAGGATGCTTCATGGTTCAAAACTTGGGGCAATAAAAACATGGTTGTAGGTCATGATGTGGTTATCTCTGTTGCTTGTAGTCTTGTTTCTCTTTATACTTTTTTTTTCAATTAATTTTCCATTAGTTAATGGCCTTCCATGTCCCTGCAGCTTCCAAAGCAGCAACCTTTTGGCACTGATCAGTCACTGTTTTCTGATCAAAAATATTCGGCATTCTGCCCAATGCTTGTGAGGACACATAACATTTGTGTTTCTTAGTCTAGTAATAGTCCAACCTTATAATAAGCAGAATTTTTGGTTTTAGTTAGCTATAATCCATTTTTAAAAGTTTATCTCAGAACTGCATTACTTTCTGTTTAATGATTCCTCTTTAGTTTAGATTAATACTACTTTAATTATTTTCTTGCTGAGATGACCCTGGAACCGTATGTTCGCCAAACTAACAATAAGCCTACTTGGACATTCTGTGGAGGAACAATGCTTCACAGAGGCCTCAGATTAGATCAGCGTCCATGGGGGTTTCAAAGAGCCCTTGCTTACAACCTCGCAAGAAATAGAGTTAAATCACTTGCTGAGAAAGGGGGTACCTTCGTCATGTCTGCAAGTTGATTATCCTCTACTGACAGTAGAAATAAAAGACCCAAAGGCTCCCCAGATAGCTAAAATCAATTTGGAAATCTTGGAAGCTTTTCCACATGATTGCACACAGCATTAGAGTGAAATACACAGCTGTAGTTCAGACCCTCTACAAAATCACAAAATGTGCGTTTTTGCAGGCTTGCACAAAGTAGTGGTCATCTTGCTACCTCTCAGCCTGGTACTGCTCGTGTTTGGATGGATCTTCGGACTGGTCAGCTCATTGGCCTGCAGTCCCAGGCTGCTGGCTGCATCGGCTTCCTATGTTCTCCTCTGCAGTAAGTTCATTTGCATGTTTTGATGTATTTCTGTGCTTGAAATCAGAATCTGTGCTTTGCATGAAGGTTATAATCAAAACAAAACAATTACTTGCCTGCTCCTGAACAACAAATGTGCAGTGTTGTGATGTATGTACAACACAACACAAAGACGTGTGAGAGGAAACCTCAAAAATTCAGTTTCAGCTGCTCTTGGATCTGATTCATCTCTGAGTAAAACCACTACTTTCAGATTTTGTGGGATGGGAAGTATACTTCCCATCCCACAAAAGTAGAGTGGAATGGAATAACTGCCATAAAAATAAAAAAAAATATTTTATTGTGGTTGGGTGGTACGTGTTAAAGTAGTTTGAGGGCAAGTGTTTCTATAAAAAACATGGACAATTTGCACAAAAAAGAAATCGTATCTCATTGTGACGTGTTTGTTTTTGTCCAAAGTGTTATTTCAGTGGGTGATGATGAAGAATTATTAAAAGGAAAATAAGAATTTAATGAGCAAAACAAAACTCTGGTTTGAGTCCAGCGACAGATTTTGCGAGTATGCAATTTTCTCTAAACTTTCAAGTTAAGATGATGTAGTGTCATGAGAAGTGTAAAACATGGGTAGTTTTGCAAAACTGAGACATTTCTTGGTGCATTTGCACATTGAGTTTAGCTGACAATTACATTTCTGAAGTGGAAAGAATATGTCAGCGGTGTGTCTGTCTTAACTGGAAACCACAATGTAAATGTGGAAGTACAGATGCCAAAATTGCAATGAAAATTCATGAACTGCTTTGTTTCCAATTACTTTGAAGCTCAAAAACCTCTATAACTTAGAGAAATGTATGCACACAGTGCATTAACCTATTGGCTATAGCTTTGTATTTCCTATTTTTTATTTTTATTTCAAATACTGTGTCCCATAAGCATTTTATTATATTTTATTATTATATTTAGTAACGGGTGTTTATACCTCAGAACTCACCAACAATTAATTTATGCTACCTGTTACAAGTACTCACTCCATTTTTTTTTCTATTTCATTCATAACATATTATTGTTCAATTGTCTTTTTCTTGTTGAGAGAACTACTGAGATTATTGTGAGTAATTTCTAGAAAGTGTGGTTCCTCAGAACTTGTCTTACAAATGTGGATGTGTCTTCCTGACCAAGTGGACCTGATTCAAAGCCTCTTTATGTGTGTGAAAATGTGTCATAAAATTACTTGCCTGCTCCTAAAATTAATGCAAAAGTTGAATAAGAATCAATTTTGTCTTATTTTTGGAAATAGGTGGGTATAACCGAAGAGGACAGTAAGATGTTCCTTCTTGATGTTGACCATTTCCTTAAACACCCACTACCACCAAACCACCTCAGCATGGATAACAACTTAATTGACTGTGTTGATGACAGCACTTTCAGAGTAATAGTTCACAATGAAGCTGTGTGAAATCTCAGAAAAGATTGTTGTGGAGTAAAAGAGCCTACATCCATCCACACACTCTCCTCCCCTGGCCGAAAATGTCTATTTAATATTAGGCATCACATTATTATCCCCTTTATAGTAATTATGTTCAAATTGAAATGTAGAGTTCGTTAATGCCTTTTTTTGTTATGGTATCACTTAAATGACAAATTAAAGCTATCACGATCATGTGGACTTTTTGATTTGCTTTTGTTTAAGTTTTATAACTTGGATCTTGCATTTTGAGTTATTTCTGTATTTTCAATATTAATCTCTGCTTCTATAGTATTTATTAGTCTGCTAGTAGTATTTCCAGTTTCAGTGATCTTATTAGTCCAATCTCTCAGCTCCTTACACTTGCTCCCCACTCAGCTGCCATTCATTCTGCTGATTTCACTTACCTAGTTTATATGAAAAAAAATCACATCTCCACAGTATTTGAGCTCCTTGGTTTCTTTTTCTCACTGCTGGATCCTTCTTTTGACACAATCCTGGTCTGTGTGTGTTCACTTTGGGTCCTTCTCAACACAAGCCAAACATAACAGAAGCATCTTTAAAACATTTCTCTGAAAAGAAATGTATTTTTAGACAGTTAGGACACTTATTCTACCAGTTTTTGAGAGTGCAGCATGACATCTCTCCATTAACCTTTCTGATTAGATTCTATCTACAATAATATATCTACCATAATATACAACAGCCTATAACAATTGGAATAAATATGATATTAGGGTACAAACAGATTGAGTCTAAGTTCCAAGTGTCCACCCAGGACACTGCACAGAGAGATGTGCGAATTGTGTCCAAACTGCAGAGACATGTCCAAATCGTGAAGTACAGGCGTGTGAAAAAGCAGCCACTGTCTGAAAAGAAAAGGAAAGAGATGAACGCATCGAAGGACCTTGAGCAAACCAGTACGTATTTCTCAGGATTCTTTACCCCCATTGTGTATAAAACATTATTAGGTTTTATTATGACTGCACACGCTGCTAAAATTCAGAGTCTTAGTCATGTTCTGTCCACATTAAAAGATCTGCTAATGCTGTGCTCTTCCACCTTCAAAACCAGAGTAAACACACACAAAAGTAAAGAGTGAGGTAATGGGTTTTTGGGCTTTCCATCTCTCTCATCAGTCCTTTTTAAATGCATTATTGTGTTTTGATATTTTGGCATCTGATACTTGGGGGGTTTGTGTCATGTGTGATCCCTCTTTTAGCAATGCCATCATACACTGGAAAATATCTAGATTTTAGAGAGGCATCAGTGACCATGAGATGTGAAAGAACAGACTTTTATTTATTTATTTTTTCCTGTGCTGTATAGTGCAATCTACGCACAGTGCAAACTGGTATAATAAATTGTTTAATTAGTGCAGAGTAGTGCTGTAATATCTTTGGATTGTGCCCTTTTACACATTTGTTGTTTTAACTTCAATTATAAATGTTTCTTCCCCTCTTCATTTGATCTCACTGTTGTGTCACTGCATGTAGATTTTACTACACTGTGAGCGAAAAAAAAACAAAAAAACAAGCAGTTGTGAATTTGAATATTAATATGAATTGCCAAGAGTAAATACAGCTCAAGATGGTGGAAGCAGAGTGTTTTCTCCCAACATGCCCTCCGAAAGGTTAGATGGAATTGCTCATTTAATGGCTGAATACTTTAGATGTTTTGCTCTGGACATTTAAGAATGGTTTTCTGTCCAGCTCACCTCTGGGGTAACTGTCAACCGAGACAATTCCTCCATCCATTGCAAAACACAAGGCAAAGAAGCCCAGACAAAGAGAGAAAGGAAAGAAAAGAAAAAAAACAAATGATTCGTGATACATTATTGAACATCCACATGCGATTCAATGGGCAGCTTTACAGCACTGCTCCCTTCTGTGGAGTCAATGATCAGATTATATTTTTGGAAGCAGCATACTGGGATAATTTGCATATGACTGGGGAATAAATTCACAAAATCTGCTCTGCTGTTCTGTAATTGCAGTGGCCAATGTTCCATCACACCGTGAAGATTTGCGTGTGTGTGTGTGTGTGTGTGTGTGTGTTGTGTTGTTTACTCTTTGTCAAAACATCTTATCTGAAATTACCTGTTCTAAGCAACATAAGCATTATGTATACATACCATTCACATTTTTTTCTTTGCTAGTTCTAATTTTTCAGAAGATGAGCATCTTGGGTTTTTGTGACAAAATAAAAAAAAAATCTATAATTGGTTTAAAAAAACAGCACAACTTCAGTATAGTTTAAATTTCCACTGACATTTATTGTTTTTGACAAAGCTAGGTAATTTTTACAAAGCTGAAGTAAAATTTTACTTGAGAATAATTAGGAAGTGATTTCTGATTTTCAAAAAAATTGAAAGCCTGCATTGTCTTACAATTTTACTTTATATCTAGCAGAACCTCTCTTAAGGTGTTAATTTTCCAACAGGTTTGCTCTTGTTTTACAGTTAGTAGCTAATTAGTTTTGTACCCAGAGCCACTAGGTAATTACTAAGCATGGTAAACTGTTCATTCAGCCTCTTCAAACAAAATTAAAGTCATAAATAGGCATTTCTAAAGAGATGTACTATTTTTTTATTATCACACAAATTTAAATTTTAAAAAAGATTTAAAAACAAAAAGTTTTTGCTTTTTGTGCACTGCATATTCTTAAATAATCAGAAAATGCAATAAAAATACAGCTGTCCAGGGAAGATGCCACAGCAAGGGTAACATTGCTTTAAACATTTAAAGCAGGCTTAGTTTATAAAATAATATCACAAGTCCTTAACAAATTCTTCCAGACTCTGGGACAATAAAATATTTCTATTCTTTTCTATAAATGCAAACTCGACATAAATCTCCACCTAAACAGGCTGAGAAGGGGATCATTAATCACTTCGGGGGAGCTGCAGAGATCAGCAGCTCAGGTGGGAGTTAGTGTTAAAGGACTAGTTTTTGTCACATTTGTTGTCTTGTCAAAAGTGGTGTTTATAGTAGGAAGTCAAGAAGCCAAGCATTAAAAGAAAGCCATCAGAAGCCTTGTTTACATCTTGTCACAAGCCCCATTGGGCACAAACTAAATGTTTTTTGTTTTACTTTCTGTACAAAAAAAAACACCTTTATAATTTAACATTGTGGTATTTCATTACAAAACCATGAGTCCTTCTCATCATGCTGTGAAAAGAGTTTTCTTTGGCATGCCTGGAAAATGGCCATGCAAAGAAATCTTAGTATATTCTAAGATTTTATATTATGAAATGTGACAAAAATGTGAAAAAGCTTAAATGGTATTAAGCTTAAGTGAATATTTTTGCAAGTCATTGATAGTTGGACCTGACCAATGCTGAAACACAATGCCTATTCTGTGTGGTTGTGAATTTTTCCCGCTTGCTGACCTCATCGACCCATAAAAAAACAGATCTATTAGCACCTGTCAGAGGTCTCAAAACTACTTTTAGATGCAGAGGGTTGTGCTCTGTTGAACATGCTTCAAATCTCCAGAAATGCACACCTGCAAACACATAGACAGCATGTTCAAGTTGGAAAGGGGCAGAGAACTCCGTGCTTGTTTCTTTTATTTTTCATTTCTACTATGTGAGACTGAGACGTCTTAGTATTTTGAAATGACAATATGTCTTTCTTTGCTTTTGAATGACATTTCAAAAGCAGACAGATTTTTTCACACACAAAAAACAATATTCTCTAAAAATTGTGTGAGAAGGTAGCTCGCTCTTTCAGGAAAGTACTTCAATGTTAATGTATTTTTATGATCCACTCAATTTGAAATGTCTTACTTGGTGAATACCTGCATAGCACCTAGGCTTCTATATATATATATATATATATATATATATATATATATATATATATATATATTATAATATATATATATATATATATATATATATATATATATATATATATATATATATATATATATATATATCTGACTGGATAGCTCAATACATAAGGCATCAGTATATCACCCGAGAGGGCAGGGTTCGAATCCAGTCTGGGTCCTTAGGCAAGACCCTTCAAGCTACTGCCTACCTCATACCATGAGAGATACTAAGTTGCATAACATGCCGGCTCAGACGTCGCCCGGCCAAACAAGGTCTGCGTCAGGTGTTGGGGAACCAGAGCACCTTGATGACAAATGGGCTACTGGAACAAGACGGAAATGGGCGAGAGATGAAAATGTGGATCTGTTGGAATGCTACTACTCAAGTAACCCTAGTGAGAGAGGTTACATGCAAAGACTGGGGAAGGAATGGTTACTTCGACATCCCCAGTCAACACTAAGCGCTAAACAACTAGTAGCTCAGTGTTCCAACATCCGCAAACGGCAACTGCTATCACAACTTGAGATTGACGAGATACAACACAAATGCTACGGCAAAAGGGAGGAACCCGGATGTCAGGACTGTGGGGACTTAACTACAAGTCCCCACCCAGTGAGGGGATACACGGCCCCAATGAGCGAAACAGAGCTGAACGAGACAGCTGCTGACCTGAGAGAGAGAATCATGACCCAAATGACAACCAGGCCTCCCCGGCGCCAATTACAACGGCTGAGTGAAGTACCATCTGAAAGTCTCATTGAGAATGTGAATGCAGCATTGAGAACGATCCCTACCAACACCATAACAGAAACCAATGAGCTGATCTACAACTCAGCATCAGTGATCCTTGAGATACTTGGCTATAAGAGCAACCATGAGACCCAATACCCACCATGGAAAAGACGGTTAGGGCTAAAATCAAGGTAACAAGGAGGGAAGTGAGCCAACTGTCAGAGCTCCACAAGGGTGCAATGAAAAGACCAGTACCCAGAAAGTACAGGCAGATGCCATACCTGAAGCACTCGAGACTGCCAAACAGAGGCTCCAAGCCTTGTCCAGCCGCCTAAAGAGATACACAAGGGAGAATGAATCCAGAAGGATTAACCGGCTGTTCTCCACTCAACCAGCTAAGGTGTACTCTCAATGGCAGGGTAATAACAACAGAGCAGACCCACCAACGCTGGAGACTGAACAATACTGGAAAGGCATATGGGAAAGGGAGGCGTCCCACAACAGCAATGCACAGTGGCTGATCTCTCTACGAGAGGACCACAGCAACCTCCCTGAGCAAGCCCCAGTAACCATCACTGTGACAGATGTTCAAGAAAGAGTCTCAGATATGAAAAACTGGACAGCACCAGGGCCTAACATGATCCATGCCTACTGGCTAAAGAAACTCACTGCTCTCCATGAGCGAATGGCAGCCCAAATGAACCAGCTGCTACAAAGTGGGACTCACCCTGAATGGTTAACTGAAGGGCGGACAATCCTAATCCAGAAGGATCCATCAAAGGGTCCAATCCCACCCAAACTACCGACCAATAACCTGCCTCTCCACAACCTGGAAGCTCATGTCAGGCATCATAGCGGCCAAGATAAGCAAACACATGGATAAACACATGAGCACGGCACAGAAGGGTATCGGTGTAAATAGCAGAGGAGCCAAACACCAACTCCTCGTAGACCGCACAGTTGCCCGAGACTGCAAAACCCGACACACCAACCTGTGCATGGCTTGGATTGATTACAAGAAAGCCTATGACTCAATGCCGCATACTTGGATCATTGAATGCTTAGAGATGTATAACATCAACAGGACTCTGAGCCTTCATTGCAAACTCGATGAAGCTGTGGAAAACCACCCTTGAAGCCAACTGCAAACCACTTGCACAAGTGTCCATCAAATGTGGCATATACCAAGGAGATGCTCTGTCCCCGCTACTGTTCTGCATAGGCCTGAACCCCCTCAGCCAAGTTATCAACAAGACTGGCTACGGATACAGACTCAAAAATGGGGCCAATATCAGTCACCTACTCTACATGGATGACATCAAGCTGTACGCCAAGTGTGAGCGAGACATCGACTCACTGATCCACACCACCAGGATCTACAGCACTGACATTGGGATGTCATTCGGACTAGAGAAATGTGGTCGGCTGGTCACAAAGAGGGGGAAGGTCATCCACACAGAAGGAGTCTCACTCCCACAAGGAACAATAGCAGACATAGAGGACAGTTACAAGTACCTAGGTATACCACAAGCAAATGGCAACCTCGATGAGGTCACAAGGAAAGGAGCCACAGCTAAATACCTCCAACGAATAAGGCAAGTCCTGAGAAGCCAGCTCAATGGCAAGAACAAAATCCGTGCGATAAACAGCTATGCCTTGCCAGTAATCAGATACCCTGCTGGAATAATTAGCTGGCCAAAGGAGGAGATAAAAGCCACAGATATTAAGACCAGAAAGCTACTAATAATGCATGGAGGGTTCCATCCCAAATCCAGCACCCTGAGACTGTACACGAGCCGCAAGGAAGGAGGCAGAGGACTAGTGAGTGTGAGAACCACTGTCCAGGACGAAACAACTAAGATCCATAAATACATCAGGGACAAAGCCTCAACAGACAATGTGCTCAGTGAATGTCTCAGACAACAGGGAACGGAGGTTGAGGTGCCAGAGATACCATCATGGGAGGACAAACCCCTACATGGGATGTACCACCAGCAAATAACCCAAGTGGCTGATATCAGTAAATCCTACCAATGGCTGGAAAAAGCTGGACTCAAGGACAGCACAGAGGCCCTCATCCTGGCAGCCCAGGAACAGGCCCTAAACACCAGAGCAATAGAGGCCCAGATCTACCACACCAGACAAGACCCAAGGTGTAGGTTGTGCAAGGAGGCCCCTGAGACAGTCCAGCACATCACAGCAGGGTGCAAGATACTGGCAGGGAAAGCGTACATGGAGCGACAAACCAAGTGGCAGGCATAGTGTACAGAAAACATCTGTGCAGAATATGGACTGGAAACCCCAAGATCAAAGTGGGAAACACCCCCAAAGGTGGTGGAGAACACCAGAGCTAAGATCCTGTGGGACTTCCAGATCCAGACAGACAAAATGGTAATGGCGAACCAACCAGACATTGTCGTAGTGGATAAACATCAGAGGAAAGCCGTTGTGGTAGATGTAGCAATACCAAGTGATTGCAACATCAGGAAAAAGGAGCACGAGAAACTAGAGAAATACCAGGGCCTCAGGGAAGAACTGGAGAGGGCCTGGAAGGTGAAGACCACAGTGGTGCCTGTGGTCATCGGGGCCCTCGGGGCAGTAACCCCCAAACTGGAGCAGTGGCTACAACAGATCCCAGGAACAACATCAGACATCTCAGTCCAGAAATGTGCAGTCCTTGGCACAGCCAAGATACTGCGCAGGACCCTCAAGCTCCCAGGCCTCTGGTAGAGGACCCGAGCTCAGAGGATAAGAACCACCCGCGGTGGGTGAGAAGGGAATTTTTTTTTTTTTTTTTTTTTTTATATATATATATTATTTACTTATTTTATTTTAACTGCATTTTTAGCATCTGTGCAGAGTCTTAGCACAGTTTGAAACATATTTAGAAGATAAGGAAATTAAGCCACCTGCTGGTCTTGAGAAAGGGTCAGTTGACAGGAACACATTTGAATCCATTCCTCTACCTCTTTCTTTTTGTTTGGCACATTACCCCAGTCATTTTGGATCTTTCCCAAAAGTAACAGCCATATCCAAAAAGTAAACTAAAAAAACATTATAAATATAATTTTTTTTGTCTCAGAAGCTTAATTCTATGAGATGTTGCCTGTTCAACGTTTTTATTAATGCTAACTATGATAATGAAAACATGCCATTTAAGATGAGAATATTGGATCAATAAAAAAACTGTTTTAATTTAGAAATGCAGGTTTAGTGAGAGGTAGGTTTAATGCCTACATAAAGGTTGTTATCTTTGAAACCTTGTCAGAAAATGTATTATGGTAACACAGGACACAATGTTAACATGTACAGAAATACAAAAATAGTTATTTTTGTTTTGTTATAATTGCTTGACAGCTGTGATGAAAGAACAATTTGTTCTATATTTTTTCTTTGAGTAAAGACAAAAATCATTTTTCTACATCTACAGAGGGATTAATTGGCCCGCAGGCATGAACGTGAGCTTCTGTCTCTGTGTTGTGCTGTTTGATGGACCGGTGTGCTCTCACCTCCTATCTGCTAAAATCGCCTGCACTCCATCTAAATTGGCTATTGAAAATTGATGCATGGACAGTTTTATATAATAAATCACTGTGATTACGGTGTCCAGTGATGAAGCATAAGAATGGTCTGTCCAGACAATTTTGTCCACATCAGTAGGGCGCATGCAGTTCTTTGTTCCTGGAACAAAGCAATGTGTTAAAAAATGGATGTGATTTTTTTTTTTTAATGTAGCTTTTTTTTTTTTCTTTTGTGTCTTGCATGTTAACAGGTATTTTCACGCTATCAGGGGTCAGTATCTACATCAAATACTCTAACCAGGCCATGGAGGAGTTCCGACGGATTGTTCCCCCTGAAAATCTCGTCTTTGTGCACATCTCCTTTGGCTGGTCGTTAGCCCTGGCATGGCTCTCCTACAGCCTGGAAGTAGCAACAGGTCTGCTGCTGTTGCTGGCTGCCAGAATAACTCAAATAAAAGGGCATTATGATTCTGGTGTTGCTATAGCTATGTTGTAGTGAAACTATATACTCATATTTTTTAGGGCAGTTTTTTGGCTGTAGTTGTTTTGTTTCTTAATAGCTTGCCAGCTTGTAAGAGACCAAAACACCAAGAGCCAAAAACCACAGAATAAACTGAAGGTAACTTTCTTAGACACACAGAAGCTGACATTAAATCACATTATTGAACTCCTTTCATCTTTTCAAAACTAAATTGTGTCTATACTGACTCTGCTTAACATTGTTGTGTTTATAAAAACAAGAAGAAGTTCAAGTGAATTGATGGATATTGGTTCTTGAATGTATCTATGCTGTAGCTTTCAAGCTTGCTGCCACTAAGTGTTGTTTTTTTCTAAAGCGTTATATAAGTTTCAGGAGGTCAACCAGAAGATGTAGCACAAGCTGGCTCTAGCAGATGCACAAATAAGTTGGCATTAAATTACTTTTCTTGGCCACTTGTATTTTCCTTCTGTCAACTGACTTTGACTAAAGTAATGTTATAAATCGCAGTGTAAAATAGAAAAGACAACCTATCCACCTAATTATTGCAGAGTAGCATTATTTTTCCCATTTGTTCAAATCTACCACTCCTTGGAAGATTTGTTGCTGTTTCATTTTTTCTCCCAATTGTGGATAATCAGCTTCACTGTAGTTTAAAAGCCCCAAAGCCTTAGAAACGGCTTCGTAACCCTTTAAATTGCTTTGAGTTTTACGATAACTGTTTGCCCATTTCACCTTGTCAAATTTTGATTCTGAAAATCTGACACTAGGGAAACATAGAAAATAAAATTTAAAAAAGTATAAAAACAACTAAAAATAAACTAAGCCAGTCTGGAAAATAGCAATGAATTAATAACTTAACAAATGTAACAACTATTTTCTCACATTGGGCAAGAATGACATGAGTAGTTAACCCTCCCCCCGCCAATTAATGAAAACATCATTTGAAGACAGCATTTTGTATTTCTTCAGGTCATTTTTGTCAAATGTACAATCTGCAGCATCTTAAGTGCAAAAAGCAGAAAGAGAAGAAGTATGTAAGGGAATTACATTTGTTTGCCTGTGGTGTTTTCTCTTTATGAATTGCTGCTGTCTTTCTTTAAGTTTGAGCCCTGTAATATGAAAGCAGGCTGAGCAGTTTGGCTGAATTGCTTTTTTTTTTCTATTTTGATGTATGCAGAGGGGTTGTTTCCTCTACCATGTTTTTCTGCTTATATATGGACTGCAGTGGTGCTGTAGTGTATTTTATTGGAGTGAAAACATTGCTGACTCTGCTGGAGTAAGCCATCACCTCGAATATGAGACCCTTACTGGGTGTGAAGTTATATCGTCTCAGATGTTTGCTAACAGAACAACTGCGACATTGCTTTTACATGTACTATCAGAAGCCTGGAGATCACATTTGAAACGTCTTCTAAAATGCTAAAATGATTCACTGTTGAAGCCAATAAGCATAGTTACTCCTTGCCGTTATAAACCTATACGGCTTGGCTTCCAGTAGATCAAATAAATTTGAAAACAAAGTAGAGGATGCAACAAGTATTCTGATGAAGATGCTTTTTTTTAGTGGAACAAAACTTATGCATGTGCTATATGTCTGTCAGTTGTCCAGTAGGCTAATGTTATTTCTCCTAGCAATAAAAATTAGCAAGTAAAAAAAGAGTGCTGCTAACTGTACAGTACTCAGCACGAACTGTGTAATATTAGTGCTTGTGCATAAATCTCAACCCTTTTTGTGAGTTTCAGTAAATAAATAATTTGAAATATCATTCCATCTGTTTATTACAAAAGATTGGCATCACATGTGACTCTTTAAGATGATCTGAAGCGCCCTGGCATTGTCTGATTTTTGCACTTTATCCTTGCTCTGCATTCTGGTTACAATGAGTTGTTCTTAGGCAACAATGATTACACTCACGTGTCTGTTTTGTTTTGGATAGATTCAACGTCTGAATGTTAGCCTGTGAATGTCAATGAAGCACACTGGGAGTCTAAAAGCAAAGATATTGCTGTGTGCGAAGAATTGCTGCTGCCAGCCCAGGGAGAATTTGGTGATGTCTTATTAGTATCTTTCAGCACTGTTGCCTGTAAGCTCTATCAATAAAACCCATTTAAAATAGTATTGGATGATGCAAAAGTTGAATATTTTTGACTTATGTTGGTCATTTGCTGTTAAAGCTAAAAATGTGCATCAGCTGGATGATAGCACTGGGACAATTTTCTCCACCCTTTATTTTGAGATCATTAAAATTTTATAATGCAATGTGGAACAACACTCATGCTTTTAATAAGCATACAGAGCTGTCACATGAGGAAATATAGCTTTTCTCTAAAAATGCTTGAAATTAACAGAGGGAAATGGAGTAAACAAAAACAGAAGCAAAGCAATCCACAAATAATTGTGAATATACATTCACAATTATTTTTTAAAAATATGTCCTGAGATGGATTTGTTAAATTTTTAGGCTCAGTAACACGGTGTCCTGAAAACGCTTTCCAACCCTGTTAACCTTTTAACATTTTGTCCTATCCAGTGTCACTGATTATCAAAACCAAATGAGTCAATCCTTCACCAAAAAAAGTTTATTTCATCTGAAGAATAAAACCATGTTTTTATAAGTTTTCAACAGTTTAGAAAGAAGAGCAGATATGTTGATTTACTGAGGCACATAAATTATGGCAGATATACATTTTTATCAAGATGACAATAATACTCCTAACCTCTACACTGTGTTGACAGATTTATAATTGAACTGGAGCTCTTCTATGCAAAAAGAGGTTAAGTAAAGCTGTAGTTTCTAACTTTTATTAAAATATACAACAGATATTTTCTGTATATATTTGCTAAAGCTGTCACTATGTTCTGACAGTGTAGAATAAGACAGATAGTAACTGGAAAAAAATTATTTTCTCTACCTCCTCCCTGTGGTTCTACTGCTAACTGCAGAAATACCCTGCTCCCGGTTAGAAACAACCAACCAGGGTCAGGAGGAAGGACTATCTCAGCATTGATGAGGACATGGAAACAAAAGGTTCAATGGAGGAGCCAGTAGAGAATACTGACACTGGGGAGGTTAACATACACGGGAGGAAGTGGGAATTACAAAACACGTAATTGGTAAACGAATGCAGCTCTGGAAGGAAGCAGATATGGCAAATGAGGAGATGAGTTACACCTGGGAAGGAGAGCAAATGGAAAGCTGAGCGTAAAAACAAAATGTTGAATTGCCATCATAGATGACTGAATTAGTGAAAAGATCTGTTGTATGTCAGATATGTAATGAAACAATACTTTCAAAATCCAAATATGTTGAATAAGCATGGTAGAAAGAAAAGTGATACAATCAAAATATTTGTTTGCTTCAATCTGATGTGCAGCACAAATTAATGAAGTTCTGTGAGTTAAGCAAAGCCCAAACTGCGAGACATTGTGTCCACTCAGCTATTTGTGTCACCCAGCTTCTGAGTTGGTAATCACTTCTCAAATTGTGCCAAGAGAAGAGGGTGATAAAAATGGACCTCAGCATAGCGGCTTACTCTCACAGACCACCTTTATAAATTAGACCTGCTGAAATCCCATTAAACTTTTATGAAACATAGTAATTCAATCTGCCCGGGTACAAGTTGGCTCTGAACCATCAGTCTGCAGTGTATGCCTCTCTCTTTGAAGGAGCGCAATAAATTTGACTCAGACAACCTCTAGCCTCATTTTAAGAATTTATTTTGGTTCCTCGAAAACCAATTTCCCTGATCAGAATCCACAAAACTCAAATATAACGTCTATAAGAGCATTTATAAATCAGTCACTTGTGATGTTCAATGCCCTCCAGCTGTCCTTGTAATCAACAAAAAGAAAGTAAAGTGGCTGTTGTGTTCAATACCCCAAAATGCTCTAATTCTTTATTCTTACACTCAGTAAGAGAGCTCATAAAGTTAATTGAACTCTTGGAGTCTGTATCTCAAAGAACCCTCAATTTGACATGAAAAAAGTTCTTCAAACGCTCGTAGGAGCCATTAAACATGAATCAAATAGATGTAATAGATTTCCTGTACTCTAGAAAATGAACGTGCTGCACCTCAAGTCATAGCCACCAGATGTTGCTTTTTCTCTGTTGTTGATCATCTTAATGAACAAGGCACCGGGGTTTTCGAAAGTGAGCCCAGCACTGCCCTAAAGGACAACAGTCTCTCCCGCTTAATGTAAAATAGATTAATGCAACGTTGAGACAGATGTTACGAGTAGAAAGAGCAAAACTCTCAAACTAGACTAAGATTAGGAAAGAAACACTATAAAGAGGCTGCTGTGAGATGGGCTACAGAAACCTTCCTGCAGAGAAAGTTGAGTTTTTATGCTTAATTATCAAAACCTTAATTTATTTAAATAATTCAACTCAAAAGAGTGAAACTAATAGAACATCCACATTCATCATAAACAGAGTGATATAAATCAAGCACTTTATATTAATGTTGTTAATTATATTTCTCAAGTGATAAAAACATAAAAATCAGTTTTTCAGATAATTAGAATTATCTGAATAAACAATAAAAATTGTTTTTTTTTATTCTTAAATGCCAGCCTTTTTGAATTTGTATCAACATGTTTGAAAGTATATGCACTTAATACCTTATCAGGTCTAATTTATCAATAAGTACTGTAACACTGAAGTGCAAAATTGGCAACTCGTGGTCAGAAATGAGCTTTGCTTTACAATCTTCTGTAGGCTGCAGTTGTCCCTGCTGCCTGTTTGCCCTTTTTATCCATGCTTTTTTTAATTCCACAAACCTTTCCTAAAAACATGCGGTATTCTGTTCAGAGTCACGTCTTTAAAAATGTTTTTTTGTGACCTACACTCACTGCCATTGACAACCATCAAACAGACAGTTTTCCCCATCTCTCTGTAGGGTGGCTGTAACATCTTTTACAATTATAGTCATATCATATTATATTTTACTACAGATTTCTGAATTAACAATGGTGCTTTCGTAATTTATCATTTCCGGTCAAACTGAATTCAGCTGTAGGCCATATTCTTTAAAAGGAACAGAGCAAACCACTTGAAATGTATTCCCCTTTGTGCAAGAAGTCTAGTGAATAGAATATGAGTTTCACATCATGGACTTAATGACAGAAATAATTTAACTTTTCTATTATATTATATTATGAGCTGCGGCAGTATATTGACATACCCCTAAATAGTTCAAACCTCAAATTAAATTGCATTTTTATTGGAAAATGGGCTGAATACCTAAAACGTATTTCACTTACATATTCTGCTCTTTTTTAAATCATGTTGTCACATAAGTTTGTCTCCTCGTTTACTTCGAACAACCTTCTTCTAGGTTGACTTAAAGAAAAATTGACACCTGCTCCACATTACAGTGCTTCGTTCCGGTGCTGCCAGTGAGGAGTGTGCAGAGCTGGAAGACCTCAGGATTGAGTGGTCTCATAAACCAAGGAGGGACATGGCCCCTGGGGGAAGTGAATGAGTTGTGTTTCTCTTTCCCAGGAATCACTTGAAAAGTTAATTAGACTTGTGCCTCGATCCTTGAGCACTAATGGTAATTGCATCACTCAGAAAACTAAGATGCCACAAATCTCATTTTCATTATTTCCCCCGCATGACAAATGCACTTTCTATTGGTAAATTACAAAACAGGAGGAAAATTACCAACATGTTAACACTGGACATGATCTAGGGACTTTACAAAAATGCATTTTTTCCCCATCTAAAACTTGAGGCTGAGGTAAAAATAACAGTCTTTTTAAACAGAACTCTTCAGTTAATATTCACATGTTTTATTAAATGCACTTAGAAGCTTGAATTAACAAAACTACTATTTATTTTCCTTATAATTAGGACCCAATAGACCTTTGTCACAGCAACCGGAAGCTGTATCTGATAGGGCTGCGGCACTTCCTGTTTTGGTGACTGTAATTCAAGTACTCTGAAAATGGCTCTCCTCCTCCGGTCCTTTTCATCGCCCTTACTTAATTTGCCAGTCCTTTCTTTCGCTGATGCGGAGGAAATCGCAGCGGCTAATTCATCCACCAACAAACGTGTGAAAAGATACAAGTGATCTTTGTTGGAGATGCAGTCGGTGTACAACGCTGAAATAAATGTTTCAGGGAGCAACTCCAATCAGCCCTTTCAGAGTGGTGTGGTTCTTGTAGGCAGAGAACGTTTCAGACGGTAAGATGAGGGATGATGGTGTTTCCAGAGCAACTTCTGTGCAGTCCAAGATGACACGGACATTTGGAGAGAACTTCAGAAATTTCTGAGGCATACTGGCTTTTACCTTCTCACGACTAATCCACAGGTTGATGGAAGAGAACACAATGAAGAGGTAGTTGGCCCAGGTGATGGTCACTCGGCTGACAGTAGCTATGCTGACTTGAAACATGTCAGCAATGAGCTGCTCCTTCATGCCCACTGCTACCTGAATGAGTACATCAGGAACTCATCAATCAGAGGCATGCAGCGGGCAGGGCTGGCTTCAGCACATGCTTCCTCTCCAAGTTTCTGTGCTCTGGTCCAGTACACCAGGCGTGATGCAGAGGGTGCAATGAACTCCCAGAAGTCTGGCCTCCAACTCCTTAATATAATCCAGAGCTTCATCAAGTGCACCTGTAAAACCACAAAATAAATTATCAAAACATACGGTCAGCAATAAATTTTAAATATATATTTGAAACGTTACTTCTGTGAAGATCAATACATGTTGTGAGTCGGAGCACGTATATATACAGTCATTGTCTTAATCTCTCCACAATATACATAACCTCATAATTTCATTATGTGATGTGATCATAATATTATTATTATTATTATTATAGCAACAGTTATATTTCACTGAGATTCTCTTACATGGAAAATATATACAATATACTATCTTTTACCTGCGGGTGGATGTGCCGTGTAGTCATGGTCCACAGTAGCATCTTCAGCCTGGCTAGCTTTCTCAGAGAGGACAAACTGCCGTTTCTTAGCCCTCTCGAAAGCAGACTCTCTCATTGCCGGTGCAGTGAAGTTATTCCAGGCAAACAGGGAAGGAACAGCTCCACTTTTTAAGGCTGCTGGTGGTGGATCCGCTCACAAAATCCTCCGGTGTGAAGTGGCGG